CTTATTGATGTTGCATAAGTTTTAAACTTATTATTTTTGGAGGCTTGTAAGGATCATGTTCATATGATGACTAGGGTCTGGCCCTAGTACGGATTCGTGAGTTTCCTAAGTCATATGAAGTGCGCAGTAGGTAGTACCTTGTGGGTTGTAATTACCCGGAATAACTTATACACGTCCACACTAGCTAGTACCTTGCAGGCTAGTAACCCGGAATAACTTGATTGGTCTGCAGCCAAGGATCCTAGTCTTTCCACTATTTGATTTCAAGTTGTTAATCATGGATTACTTGTAGCTTGAGAATTGATGCTTACTTTGGGTATTTGAATCCTATTTTGTATACTTGAAACTGTATACTTGCTCCTTGTATTTAGATCTTATTTTGTATACTTGAAACTGTATACTTGTCTTGTGTATTTAGATCTCATGTATCATGCTTGAACTTGTATCTTTGGTTGTGTATCTAAACCCTAGATAGTATACTTACGCATTGTACGTTTGATTTGTGCAATCGGACTCCATTATGTGTACTTGTGTCGTATATGCTTGTCTTATGCGTAATTCATTTAACTTAGTATACTTGTGCCTGTATACTTGATTTATGAGTTTTCCATGTTAATTGTATGTTTGTATATGCATGCTTAGACACTGCATAACTTGTTTAACATGATTTAGGGTACTTGAGCATGTATGCTTGTATGTCATGTATTATGTTTTAATACGGTTTAGTGCTTGAGCATATATACTTGTATGTCGTTGTTCATTTCAATTACATGAGTAGCTTAAGATGATCCCAGAGTCTCATTTTGACATAGGCGTTAGGTGGCATGAGCCCCTTTAACATGTTTCACCTTAAGGTGATAAAATTGTAAAATGTTAGGTCGATGCATGCTCATCTCCTACGAGTAGCTTTATGTTACTCACCCACGTAGTGGGGACATTTTTCAAGGTACAGGAATCAAGGTTCGAGATTCTCATATTGCTTGGATGATTTGTAGCCTTGAAGGTTTTCAATTCTTGTAAAAGTTGGCATGAAATGCCATTTTGTAGCCTTATTTGTCTAAATTCATATTCTTTGATTTGTATATGTAAAGTGTACATAACTACACTCATTTTAATGTATTTGACATGTATAAGATGAGGCCGGAGGCCAATGACATGTATCTTGTATACCATGCACTTTTGTTTTTAAGGTTCATTATGAAAATATCAGAAAATGCTAAGTCATTATCTCATAACTTTTGCATCGGATGTGGGAATTCCATTTTTTTTTTTCTTTCGTAGGGTTTCTATGATCATGTATGAGGTGTGGCCAAGGGCCAAATACCATTTCGTTCTAGGTTTTGCATTTGAGTTCCATTTATTGCATTTTTGGCCGTTAAGATGTCATATTTTGCATTGGGGTCATTTTGAGGCCGCGGAGCATTGGGACGCGTCCTAAATGTCTTTTTACGTTTACGTGCGTGTCCACATTTCACAAAACTCTTAAGTTTCAACTTTGGAACTATTTTTGGGTAATTTCATAAGCTTTTTATGCGAAAACCTTGCATTGGGTTGTCAATTGAGTTCCTCTTTGTTTTGTAATGTTTTTGATGTTTGAACGGGCCTAGAAAGTGTTTTAAAACTTGTTCGGATTATGTAGAACGCATGTAGAACACTAGGATTGGCCCAAGCACCATTTCCACACATTGCAGCAGCTTTTCATAGCTGCAACAGATGTGTCAGTCGGCTAGTGAAGCTCCATCAGCTGGCTGACAAAGCCCTCGAGACTATTCCAGTAGCCTTTTTGGGATTTTTGGCATTTCGGTCGGCTGACCATGGGGGTTCGGCCGGCTAACAATGGGTTTCGGCCGGCCGATGATGCACTTTCGGTTGACCGATTCTCCCTGGGACTTTCCCCTTCCAGTTTCTCTTGGCTTATTTCTTTTCGGGTTGGCATTCTTGTTTCATTTGTTGGCTCAACTGTGTTCCGTGGCTTCATGGGGAGTCACTTTGGTGCCTTAGGGATGTCGTATTTCTCTTGAGACCATTTTGCTTCTTTCGCTTCCGCATTTCTGATCCATTATCGGGTCATCTTTTGGTTCATCACTAGACACACCGGGTTGAAAAATCCAGGGTCGTCATATAAGGGGTTAATGAAGAGGGTTACATTAACGGTTTGAAAAGTGACGGTTGGTTTTGGAAAAAATAATGGGGAGCGACATCGGATAACATTGCACCCATTGCATGACATATCCATTCATGACTTGATTTATAAATGTGATATTGTGGTTATTTTTCTCCCGGCATAGCATAGGATCATCTAAGATATTGATTGGAAAGAATGTGGTATTTATGGAGTAATAGAGATGGATATTCTCAGTTTGTGTTTATGATTAGACATGAGTAGTTATCCTTTTGTCTAGGTGCAGTAAATCATTAATACTAAAGGGTTCCTTAGGTATTAATAGAGGGGTAGTCTTTTCACAGTATAGGGGCATACCTTTAGACTGATGGTTGTGATAATGAGAAATGTGATTCTTTGTATAGAAAGTTGTAATAAGGGAAATGGTTTAGACTCTATGTATATGGTACTTCATATTCTTCTGTGTTGACTGTTTTGTGAGACAGCATGATGATGTGATGATTATTTTTCCCCTAATTTGCATGACTCACTTTCTGATTCCTATTCTTTGTTTGGATTCATGGGGGTATTAAGGAGTCGTGGTTAGGCATTTCCTATTGAGCTGTGGTTGCTCATTCCTATTATATATACATTTTTTTCAAGTTATGGACAAGAGGTCGTGGAGGGAATTCCTCCACAGCCATGGATGGATGTTGGGTTCTATTTGGTTATATATCTTTGTATAAATGGGAAATGTATATTTTGAGACCAACATGTATATTTGTAAATATTTTTCCAAAACAAATCGTGTTAAAATATTGTAATTAAAGGGTTATGGGATTTTAATTATGAAACCTACTTTTATATTTTCAGATAATGTGTGAACAGGGAAATGGACTTTGTGTGTGCATGCTAGGACATGATACATTATTTAAAATGACTTTTGAAACAAGAGATTTTCTTATTATCAGCCTTGGGTATTAAAGTTTTATCTAAAATTTTTGGACAGTATTCCAGGACTCGGTCAGACGTTTCTGAATATGAGTATTTCTTTGTTCTGTTTTATGTTCACAACCTGGATTACGGTCTAGGGTCGTGACAATTACCCTTATTGGATCATTTTACAAAATATATAAAAATAAATAATTTTGTAAAATAGACCGAAAAGGATATTAATGGAAGATACCCCTTTAGTGCAAAAACACCCCTAAAGTTTCAATTTGGTGCAAATAGGTCCCTTTAACAAATTTAAATCTTAAATTGACTAAATTACCCTTACTGAACTATTTTATAAAATATATCAAAATAATTTTTTATTTATTTATAAAATGACCGAAAATGACATTATTGGAGGACGTCGGCAATGGACAAGTAAAGATAAAAATATAAAATAAAAATAAAAGTACAATAGAAAAGTAAAGATAAAAATAGAAAATAAAAAACAAAAATAAAGTGCAAACTAAAGAAAACAAAAAAATTTCAAACTCCGAAAACCAGTGCACACTTGGGATTTATTTATTTAACAGTGTTGGTACAAAAAAAATTAAAATAAAGAAAAAAATTAGTAGAAAAGAGTAAACTGAAATCTTAAAAAATTCGAATCCTTATTCTACAAATTTTCAAAATTTTTTTTAAAAAAACATTGTTTAGAGATATATATAGATAAAAAAAAGTTTCAAAAATATATATATACAAAGTAAAGTGCATATAACACCCCTATACTATTAGATTAGAAGTATATATACCCCCTTGGATATTTTTGGAAGAATAAAAGGACAAAACGGGTATTATAACACTAATTTATGGCAGATGGGATATTTTTGCACAATGTCAAAAAATTAGGAGTATTTTTTGCACACTTTTTCAAATAGAGGGTAAATGTGCTATGTGGAGTATACTTTAAGGGTGTTTTATGCACTTGTCCCATAATTACCCCTGCACAATGTATTTATATAAAAGAAATAGCATAAGATAATCTAATAGAATAACGAAAGTTGTTTTGACTTCTAACAAAAAATTTCAAATATTTAACTTAATGGAAAAAATAGTTTTGAAATACTAAACAATCATTAAATTCAAAAAACAGATTAACAAAAATTTCTAAATATTCAACATAATGGAAAAAATAGTTTTGAAATACTAAACGAACATGAAATTTAAAAAACAGATTACTTCAACAACATAGTTACTATTTTACGAGTTGGCCTGATTTTGAAAAAAAATTGTTCTTTTTGGGATCAAAACGCGCTCATCAAAACTGCTCTTTATATTTTATGGTGGTCTGAACGATTTATAACTGATCTTTTCTGAACTTTGGTCACTCTTTCAAAATAAAGGGTAAGATACACAAAGATGTGTTGCCAAGAGAATGTCATCTACCTGTTATTCCACTGATCCACTGATTCTGATAATAGAACCGCAATAGGAATACAATTGGCTACAAGGGGTTAAAAAAGGAGGGAATTCCAATTATTTTAAATCATATATGGGTTAATACAAAATTAATAAAAATAACGCCATCTTGCCTCCTATGCTAAGTCACACAATCTTTTTTAATGGGTGTCGCTCTCACACTCGGAGTGCAGTGGGTGTCGCTTTCACGTTTTGAGCGCGCTCCCGCTCTCACGTTCCGCGTGCGCTTTAATTCAAATTCTCACTATTTATGACTTAATTCTCACTATTTATGACTTAATTCTGCGGCTTTCACCTTCCCGCTCTCGAATTTGTTCTCGCTCCGCTTTATGTGACTTAGCTCTTATGTCCTAAATTATTGAATAAATAGAGTAAATTAAAAAAAAAAAAAAAAACCAATTATATATATATATATATGTATATATATTTCTTAAAATAATATTATATATATATATATATATCTATCTATCTATGACATAAGAAATGGAGCCCAAAATTATACCCGAGTATGCTGGCCAGTATATTTGCAAATCTATTTCGGCCCAACTCAGCCCTATTTGCACCTTCGTTCCTCACTCTCCGTTGAAAAGAGAACCAATTTGAACTGAATCACAACCCTCTCTCTCTCTCTCTCTCTCTCTCTCTCTGACTCTGTTTCTTCACCCATGGAGAAACAATTCTGGCCATATCCGGCCAAATTGCACGGCCAATTCTCAGCCCTGGTGATTCTCATTGCTCTGTTACTCCTCATTTCAGCCACCGCTGCCACCCCCACGGCATACAGCGTCGCCAGCGGAGTCCTAGACCAAGAACTCCAGAACGCGATCGCAGCTCTGCGATCCAACGGCTACAATCTCTTCTCCAACGCCATTGACACCACCGACCTCCGGTACCAGATCCCCGACGGTGACTTCTTCACCTTCTTCTCTCCCCGCGACCCCAACGTCTTCTCTCTCGACATGGCCTCCGACGCCACCGTCTATATCCAAATCCTCCATTACCACGTCGTGCCTGTCCGCCTCTCCGTCGCCGATCTCCGCAACCTCTCCTCTCCCGGAATCTACGTCGAGACTTTCCTTCCTCACTACAGCCTCTTGATAGATCATTCTCAGCCGCCACCAGACGACGGAGTTTCCAACAATGTCACCGTGGATGGAGATGTTACCGTGGACGGAGTCCGGATCGCACATCCGGATCTTTACATCGGCTCAAGAATCGCCGTCCATGGACTCGACGGAATTCTTGCACCCAGATTCGAGTTTTCCGATTTTTACGGCGAACTAGGGTTTGTGCCGTTACCGCCGATTGGGTCTGGGCAGTATATCTCTCGTAATTCACCTCCGTTTGCTCCGAATGTGGTGATCATGTCAAGATCTACGCCAGAGAGCTCACGGAATTCAAGATTCAGAAACCGCGGGAAAAGGCACGAGGGTCATCATCACACTCATGGAAAACGCAGAGTCCACGGTCACCGGAAAAAGGTCGATAAGGAGGTCGGCGATCGTCAGACTCGACACAGTAAGTTTTCCAAGTTCAATCGTCACCTATCAGATGACTTTTGATATGTAATTGCAGTTGTTGTGACAACAATTCTTGTTAGGTATACGCACAGAGCAATTGACACATAGTCCTTTGATAAACCCATTTTGATCTGATTCGAACTGTATACTGATGAATCAAATTTCTCAATGTATAAATTTCATCAATTTCAACATAACATTTTGGTATAACTTCACATTCCAGAGGAAAGTAAACAAATTGATGCATAACCATTTGATACATAACCATTTGATAAAAGACCTCAGAGAACATATATTGATGCGATATATGTATGCTTCAATTAACACTCACTGAACACTAACAAGACTCGAAACACACAATACTGAGATAGTAGAAGCCAGAGAGACAGTCTTTTATTTTGAAGCAACACATATTTAGGGAACCTAGTTGTGGGACATGGGCATAGTGTGATTAACATTTTGTGGAGGTGGTGGTGGTGGTGCTATAGAGGTGGAGTTGGAGTTGGGTTCCGTGGCATCACAGTAGCCTTGGAGGATATCCCCTTCCTCGGAGGTGAAGCCAAGGGAACCAAGCATGTCAGGCCAGCACTGGTGTTGGATGGTATGGATGGCACTGCAACAGCCCGGGCCAAGATAGGTCTCGCCGTTTAGGAAGAACAGGATGACCTCGCCAGTGCAGGATTGTAGCTCATACAGTGAGTCCCAACACTTGGATGAGCCCTCTTCATCTAATTTGAGTCGAGCCATTAGGGTTGACTTGGTGTTCATTGGTCGTGCCATGACCATGGAGGCAATGAAGCATGTTGCCAAAACTGTCATTATGAGCTTCAGTGAATAACCCATTGTCTTGAGTACCTGTCTTAGAAAGATGGTGTGAATGTGGCAGAACATAGGAGGTGTGTGTTTCATTTATATAGAGAAGGGGTAGGGGATGTCAAGAGACAATGGAATTCAATTGGGTAACCCAAGAGGTTGCACATTTTGTCTAGCTCTTAAGTTGTTAGATGAACAGTTGATGTAACTGAATGTACATGGCTATATGCTAATAACTATTCAATAATTACAGTCTTAAAAAGATATGTTTAATACATGAGTGCCTCTACTTAATTATATGGAAAACCAGTTATTTTGATAAGAAAGGTCTGCATTATATTTGTCACTTGATTGAGCTAGTTGCCCAGTAATGTTTTTTTGTATTAAATATGATTTAGAACTGTAATTGCTCTTTGTTAACTATATTGATATTCGATTAGTGGTCGGACCAATTGGCCAGTACTGGATGGATCACATGAAACCAGTCCTGAAGGATGCTATGAAAAAAGATCTGTTTATTTTGAGCTTTTGTGTATTGGCATTCTCATAGACTCGTGACTGAATGTACATGGCTATGTGCTAATAAAACTATTCACTTATTATAGGTCTACAAAGATTTGTTTAAGTCTAACGAGGAAGCTTTATTTGAGTGCCTAATAAGAAAGTATCTGCATTATAAATCTATCAGTGTGCATTATATTTGTCATTGATTGAGCTAGTTGCTCGGTGATTTTTTTTTTTTTTTTTTTTTTTTTTTTTTTTTTTTTTTTTGTGTGTGTGTTAAATATGATTTAGATCTCTAATTGCTCACTGTTAACTATATTGATATTGGATCTGTGCTGAAGATTGCTCAACTATTTTGGCCTTTGCTCAATCTCAGGCTAAGTTTTACCTCGACTAGTAGCCTTTTTTCTGTTCTTTTTAAATTCTTTTAATCTCTTTTTCTTAGTAAGGTTAGGAAACTCATTACATGAGTATTTTCTTTAAGAAATATCTACAATGGTGATGTTTGAGGCTATTGAGCTTCCTACTTCTTAACTAGAAACTCGTTTGGGCATCATTGGACTAAAAGTTTGGAAAACCTCACTTTTCTTACTCGTATTTGCGAATATGGCTTGCTGCTATTCCGTGATTCTGATCCATTATTAACTACTTCTTCTTCATATATATATATACTTTTAGTTAAATATACGAAACATTTGTCTGCAAAGCATTTTTTATTTTTTTCTCTTTAGTTCTAAATAAGCTCTTCAGATTTCAGTTAAGCTCCAATTATCTCAATTACAGATTCCTCAACAGTTCTTGTTAGGTATACGTACAGAGCAATTGACACGTTAGTCCTTTGATAAACCCATTTTGATCTTGATTTGAACTGCATATACTGATGAATCAAATTTCTCAATGTATGCCATTCCATAAATTTCAACAGAACATTTTGGTATAACTTCACATTCCAGAGGAAAGTAAACAAATTGATGTATAATCATTTGATAAAAAACCTCAGAGAAACACATATTGATGCAATATATATAGGCTTCAATTAACAATCACTGAAGACCAACCAGACTCGAAACACATGACACTGAGATAGTAGAAGCCAGAGAGTCTCTTTTATTTTGATTTCATAAGTAACACATATTTAGGGAACCTAGTTGTGGGACATGGGCATAGTGTGATTAACAGTTCGTGGTGGTGGTGATGGTGCTATAGAGGTAGAGTTAGAGTTGGAGTTGGTTTCTGTGGCGTCGCAGTAGCCTTGCAGGATGTCCCCTTCTTCGGAGGTGAAGCCGAGGGAACCAAGCATGTTAGGCCAGCACTGGTGTTGTATGGTATGGATGGCATGGCAACAGCCCGGGCCAAGATAGGTCTCGCCATTTAGGAAGAACTGGATGACCTCACCAGTGCAGGATTGGAGCTCATACAGAGAGTCCCAACACCAGGATGAGCCCTCTTCGTCTAATTTGAGTCGAGGCATTAGGGTTGATTTGGAGTTCATTGGTCGTGCCATGACCATAGACGCAATGAAGCATGGTGCCAAAACTGTGATAATGAGCTTCAACGAATAACCCATTGTCGTGAGTGCCTGTCTTTGAGAGATGGTGTGAATGTGGCAGCACACAGGAGGCATGTGTTTGTTTATATAGAGAAGGGGCTGTGGCACGTTATGTTTAGGGGATGTCAAGACTCAAGAGGCAATGGAATTCAATTGGGTAACCCAAGAGGTTTGCACATTATGTCTAGCTCGAGTTGTTAGATGAACAGTTGATGTAACTGAATGCACATGGCTATGTGCTAATAATATTATGTTGTTCTTTTTTTTTTTTTTTTTGGCATAAATAACTATTCACTAATTAGTCTTTATAAGATGTGTTTAATTCTAACGAGGAAGCTACATGAGTGCCTGATAAGAAATGGTCTGCATTATAAAACTATGCACTATACTTGTTATTTGATTGAACTAGTTGCTCAGTAATGTTTATTATTATTATTTTTTTGTATTAAATATGATTTAAATCTCTAAATGGTCTTTGTTATCTATATTGATATAGGACTAGTGGTCACGCCAATTGGGAATATGGCTTGTGCTACTCTGTGATTCTATTCCGTTTTTAACTACCTCTTCTTCATATATATATATATATATATTCAGTTTAATATATGAAACATTTGTCTTCAAAGCAATTTTTTTTTAAATTTTTTTCTCTTTAGTTCTAAAATCAGATTCCTCATCAGTTCAGCTCGATCTGATAGTACCTTTGGTCTGATATTAGCTTCCTCGACTGAAGTTCTTAGGCTCGGTTGATCTCCAATGAGCTCAATTACAGTTTGGTTTACAATTGGACTCACATTTGCTTAGCTTAGTCGACTTGCAATTCTAAACACATTCCAAGCTAATTTTCTGATAAGAAATGGTACATACGTTGGTTGCCAAGTTTTATTTATTTATTTATTCCCTTTATCTGGGACCTTGTCCACCAAAGTTCATCAATATTAATTAATCAATTTCAGGGTAAATTATTATTATATTTGTTTTTTTAACTGTCTTGATCTTTGAATTTTTTGGTCCTGACTTGCTATTTGCCATTTTATGACCATATTTTGGCCACATTAATGAAAATATTATCCTGCTTTGGCACATAGAGATTTAACCAAATTTCATACTTAGCCATTCATATCCACAAATAACACATTGGAAGAAAAATTTCAACACACTGATTAGATTAGTGACCAATAGGCCTGTGGCCTAGCGGTATAAGGCTTTTACTTCCTAAAAGGAGATCAGGGATTCGAACCTCAGTGGAGGCAGTGTATGTGAGTTCCAACTAGGAAAAAAAAAAAAAAAAAAACAATAAAAAAGACTAGTGAAAAACTCCAGAACAGACATAATTTAACCTAAACTGATGAGACTAAAAATATTAGAGGACCAAACAATCCCATACTAAACCATCTCCATCAAATTTGCCATAGACACAGGTTGTGCAGAAGGGCTTGGAGCAGGAGCAGAGGATGATGATTCATCACAGTATTCTTTTAGTATGTGGCCTTCTTCGGCTGTGAAACCGAGGGAAGTCATCATATCTGAGCAGCAGTGATGGGTGATCATCGTTTGGATGGCTTGACAACAGGTCGGACTGATATCAGTTTGGCTGTTAACGAAGTAGAGAACAATTTCATTGGAGCACGATCTTATCTCTATGAGCGCGTTCAAGCAGTAGTCATCTGATCCTCGACTGCTCTTCAGTCTGGCCGTGACGTTGAATCCGGGTGGTACTGGGAGCTGCGCGTTTGCCGGGAAGAAGCATGTGGTTGTTAGCAAGAAAACAACACATCTGAGAGCCATAGTATAATATGATTGTTTTAATTAGAGATAAACTACACACACAGAGAGAGGTTAAGTTGCAGGTAGGAAATGAATTTATAGAGTGGTGAAGGAGGAGAGTGAGGACTATTACTAAAGATGAATTGCAATGGAATTTATGCATAATCCAGAGGGCATATGAAAAGATGGGTTCCAAAATTGTCATTGCCTCTGTATTAATTTTACCATGAAATTTACTCACCATAAAACAAGATGAGGAAGGGATTGTGTGCATTATGTTATATTTGAGATACCCAAAAATAAAAAATTAATAATAAAAATAAAAACACACACACACAAATGCACTTATACTTGGGTGGATTCCCCAAAACTAGTATTCAGAATTTTGTTGCCACGAATAACAAATGAGAATAGAAGTGGTAGTTTCTCACCTTACTAAGAAAGTGCGTTTAATTTTAAAAAGAGTATTGAGTGGTGTTTGGTGAAAAAATAATCGCGCTTTTAGGCGTTTAATTTTAAAAAGAGTATTGAGTGGTGTTTGGTGAAAAAATAATCGCGCTTTTAAGAATTACAGGTTTAATAAAAGAGTTAATTTCATTGACATCCATTAAAGTTTAGACAAATCTTACAGATCACTCACATTACAAACGTTATTTCGTCTTTCATTTACACTCCAACGGTTACCTACAAATGATACCATATAAAATGACTTAAATTCCCTTTGACTTTTTAAAAATGACTCTTTAACCTTAAAGAATTAGATAAACAAACTAAAATATCTTTAAATACTTTGTAAATATTTATATTATGTCGCCTCTTCTCCTCTCTCGCCACCACATTCTAGTGATCATGATGATGGCAATGCTGTCAAATGAGAAATTACGTTTGGGTAATGCACACATTTATTACTGTATAGGTAATATAGTAAAATTAATAATAAAAGTATTTTAAATAATACTGTTACCAAACAATTTTAAAAGTGTTTTAAATATAAAAAGTGTTTTATATAATGCATCATAAAAGCACTTTTAACAATCAAACGGGCTCCGGAGAAGATAGAGGGTCCTATAAAATAGGCAAGTGAATTTCTTGTGAAGCTAAAATCAAATAAATAAATAATACCCCCCTATAATATATCATTATTATATTTATATTGCATATATTATACATGTATAATATCGATTAAACGATATTTAATAAAGATTCATGAACCCTCCTTATCAATTATTTTTGTTAGATTATGTTAAAAGGAAAAATATCTAAAATAAACTAAAGCTAGTGTTTATTTTGGGTATTTATATGTTCATCTCCGTCGACGAGTCTTTAGAGACCAGGAAGAAGGAAAAACTAAAGTGTTTTCTTTTTTTAGAAAATGATTCTTGCATCTAATAATTGCAGTGAATTGTTAGACTTACTTTTTTAATTAGTCAATTATGCAACAAATAAGGAAGTGAAATTTGGTATAAATAGCCAATTAAACATTATTCTGTTAGGCAATTCACTGCAACGTCGAGAGAGTAAATGGAGAGGATTTTTTCCTTTTTTTCCAAGTGTATGTATCACTACTCCTTTTTTTTCGGTAATTATGTAATAAAACTTAAAAATATATAGGTGTACTTGGTGCATACCCCAAGGGCCAACGTATCAACAGCCAAACAAGCCCAAAAGGCAAATAACAAAAAGGGTAAAGTGCAATAAACTCCCTCCAACTATAACCTAAGTGCAACTAACCCCCTCAACTACAAATAACCCCTCTCAACTATGGTCTTGGTGTAGTCTTAGGACAAAGAAGGTTATTCCGGTCATTTCATATCACCGAAAATTAGAAAAGTCCATTTTACCCCTCACCAAACCACAAAGTAAAGACACACAGAGAGAGAAAGAAGGGACCAGAGAGAGAGAAAAGGTACACCGATGGTAGCACTGGAGGAGGAGAGGCATCGGGCTTGTTGGGTTCAAGAATATATGTGTGAGGATGAGGCGATGATGGTGGTGGCAGGAGTAGGCAGAGGGTTTATGGTTTCAATTGGGTTTGACGGCGTGTGGTGAGGTTGGGTATGAATTATTTCCAAGGGTTGTATCGGGTTTGACCGAGCACATAATCGGGCAATACGAACATCATCTTCTTCGTTTTCAATCTGAGATTGACGGTGGTAGAGGGTTTGACGACTTGTGGTGTGTGGTTCGACTGAGCAAATCGTCGGTCAATGAGAAGACCGAGCATGTCGTCAGTCGATGTTCTCGTCGGTCCGTCACCGCCGCTGCACCACTCGCCGTCCATCACATCTGACATCATCCAAAGTCCAAATCGTTGAGCCGTCTCCATCCTCTCCACCAACCAACATCATCCAAAACCTCAAACGAATGATTTGGGGTTCGGATTTCTTTCTGTTTGCTTTACCAATGTGTAGCTGACAATTGGGTACAAAAGCTTTTACGATTTAATCATTGTTCTGAAACTCATCGGTTGGATGATGCCACCGTTGCTGGGTAGGCAATGGCAATCTCCGTGGAAACCCCTTCAACTACTCAGATCGTTTCAGTTCTGATGTCGGAGGGTCAATCATGAGCATTAAATGTGTTATATCTATATATATATAAACACCGTTCCCACTCTGCGCTCTTGTTCTTCGGCAGCCAATGATATCGCCGACTAATCAAATCTCTAGCTGGTGATAAGAGGGGAAAGGTAGTGAATTGTAGATGTGTGCGTGTGAGAGAGGGAGATATTTTACTGTTGAGATGGTGTTAGGTTGTTGTAGGTGGCGGTCATGGACTTATGGAGATTTGTATGTGTTCTTGCTTGATTGGGTCGAATTGCAGATTGACACTAAATATTGTAGGTGATGGTCATCAAATTTTTGTCCCAATTGTGATTTTGGGTCTCAAAGTGTAGGTTAGAGTTGATCTTTGATTCAGTGTGGTAGTGGAGAGGAAATTGGCGTCTTCAACAGCGTGGTGGTGGAGAGGAAATCGGCATCTTCATCAGATTGATGTATGAATTTTTACCATTGTTACTGACGTTAGGACATATTTAGTAGGAATCACTACAACAAATTTGGTCTTTGGCGACAATAGAGTTTGTCGCTAAAAGTCCATATTTTGTCGCTAAAATATTATCGCAACAAAAAAAATTTTGTCACCAGGTTGTCACTAGAAGCCGATAACAATATGTTTTTCGTGACAAATTATGATTTGTCGCTAAAGGTATGATATATTGTGACAAATTACTTTCGTCACAAAATGAGTAAAAATTGCGATAAAACATTTGTTGTAAAATATTCAAAAATTGTCGCCTTATACCCCCTAAGACTTATGAAATTTGTCACTATTCATCATTATTTTGTGACGAAAAGAATTTTTGTCACTATTTGTGTACTCTTTTGTGATAAAAATTGTCGCTATAAATTGCTTTATTGTGACAAAATGTTTGGTCGCAATAAAAATACCATGTTGCGACAAAAATATTATCGCTATAAGCTACTTTATTATGACAAAATGTTTGTCGCAATAAATATACCATGTTGTGAAAAAAATATTTTCGTTATAAGCTGCTTTATTATGACAAAATGTTTTGTTGCAATAAACATATTATGTGGCGACAAAAATATTGTCGTTATAAGCTCCTTTATTGTGACAAAATGTTTTGTCGCAATAAACATATCATGTTACAACAAAAATATTGTCCCTATAAGTTATTTTATTCTGACAAAATGTCACAATATATGTTCTATATTGTGACAAAATTATTGTCACTATAAGCTATTTTATTGTGACAAAGTATTTTATCAAAATAAATGTGCCAAATTGCAACAAAAGTATTGTCACTATAAGCTATTTTATTGTAACAAAATCTTTTGTCACAATATATTTAACATGTTGCGACAAAATTATTGTCACTATAAGCTATTTTGTTGTGACAAAATAACATGTCCTGCAACAAATACAATAATATAATTTTGTTTTCATCTATTTGAAGCATAAAATTTGAAACCTGTAACTTAAATTAAAATATTAATAAACTAAACAATCTAAACTAAAATCCAAGCATCTCACTCAAAATCAATATATTTGATAATCAATCATAGAATATAAAACACATTCCATTAAGAATTTAGATATTAAAATGTACAAATCATCCAAAATCTAAAATGATAATTCCAGCACATATCAAAATGCTAATATCCAAATCCAATATTACACAACTAATCATATTAGCATATCAAAATTAAAAAAAAAAATCTAAGATCCGAATTCAAAAGGGGAGCCAAATTGCAATCAATGTGAAACCTGCAAACTAAAATAAAATAAATTAGAAGAAAAAAAATTGAGATTAGAATTTCAAGACTGAAATAAATTTTTTAAAGAGTATTTTAGAAAACTTTATATGCGGGTGAGAACAAGACATTTCTTTGGAATTAAGTGACTTGGCTTTTCTTATTATACTAAGCAATTTACACACACACACACAACTTAGTATGATGTATTCAATTTGATAACATATAGACAAATGAAGAGTTGAACAACGAGACTGTATAGTGTGTATAAGAAATTTTGGCTACCAAATTTATTGCTAATGCGTATTCTGTGCAAAATTAACTGCTATGCAGGTCAATAATGCAGGAATTAGGGTTATTATAATCTGCGTTGGAGTTATCATGAAATTAAGAAATTTACACGTGTTCTTTGTTTCTTTAGTATGACCCATGCTTTCTGATTAAACTATGTCAAATTGGTTATACAGGAGAAAGTATTAGCAACATTACAGGAAATGGAAATTAAAGAGTATACATATAGCATTCAAGATTTCAATCAAATACAACAAGACATTCTGGAACTATCCACCTAAAAGATAAAATACCATCACTTTTTCAAACTTTTAAGTTTTTGCAACCCCTCTCCGAACTGAAGCTGAGCTTCTGTTTCATCCTCCGTTACGAGTCTTATGACAGAATTCCAGCAACAATGTAACAAGTTCTAAAAAATCCTAAACGCCTATAAGAAAAAGTGAAATACAAGCAATACCTGTATTTAACCAGTTCTTCAAACAGATGAATACATTGATCTTTATCAAGAAATCCAAGGTTCTGTTGCTTCAAAAGGAAAAGCCCCATATGTAAATGCAACAAAAAAAACAGTTATAACCCTTACAAGAAATTAAATATTAAACAAAACCATTGCAGTTATAGTGAAAGAATAAGTAAATGAACTGAATTTTTAAATGAAAATAATAATGATTTTGCAAGTACACACTTATCAAATAAAAATAAAAAATTGATTTTGCAAGTA